CTTGGCCGTCCCATATGCAGCACCCAATGCTAAAAAGAGAGAAAATGGCAATTAACATGTGCAAAGAGACAAAGGGAGTGAAAACAAGCACTTATAATGGGCTAAAGTTGAATGACTACAGGACAAGGCACACGTAAATACCCAACTAATGAACATCATTCTAACACATATGTCTTAAATATCAACCCCCCAAATACAAACCAGCTGTTCCAGGAATACTTTGTAGCCATTTTAAGCTGAGACACTATAGGCAAAACCGTAGTTTTTCATGCACTGGTCAATTTTGAGCAATTTCGCTTCCATAACTTGTTTTCTTTCAGACTAGTGGAAAGAAAACATCCAAAGTACACATGTAAGTGTTTATTGTATTACACTTTGTCTATTTGCATCTTTAAATTTCAACTGCATTACATTTAATGGCTGTTTTCTCAAGATGAGTTTTTTTCTCCTGCACCGAGACAGAAATCCCCACTTCAGTAGCACTTTCATACACCAAAATTTACACTAGTTTTATTCCTAACTATATTCTGATGGTTTTTACAGAGGGGTGTGTTTATAGGTCATTCACATGATTTTTATAGATTATTTCCTAATTTTCTTTTCCTGACTGTTGACAGTATTTTCTAAAAAAAGAAAGGGACATTCTAAATCCCTTCTGTAAAAACCTTTAATAATTTTGAATCTGGCTTTATCCAATGTTCAGATTTTTGTTCTGGAAATGTATTCAAATCCAGCCAATCAAACCACTGACTTCAACAGTATTTTTTTTACCTATTATGGAAGTCGATGCTTGGAAAATTTCTTCTTTTGTGTTCAACATAAGAAAGAAACACAGACAGGTTTGGAACACTTTGAAGGGGGAGTAAATGAGGACAGAACTTTAATTTTGGGGTGAACGGTCCCTTTAATTAATGGCTCATTTAAACATAATATTTCAAAAAACTTGATGTCTGCTTTACCCTATTCACCTGTGGTGTCTTGCTTTGAAGACTTTAAAAGGCAAGGTCAGCAAAGCATCGAGGCAGTGGTCAACTGCTTTCGTTCTCCGTCACATGACTACAGAAGCGAGTCCCTTTCGTTTGTAGGAAGCTGAGGAGTTGCGTCAAATTTATTCGGCTCTTTCCGGGACTGAGGAACATGGCACTTCAAAATGTGATAAATGCTAAGAGTAATGGCTGTCGTTTGAGTACAGACAATAAGTGTGGCTCGTCTTTTAAAAATGGGCTGTAGCATTAGATAAGAGCAAACCTGTTTATGTTAATTAAGTAATGCATTTCGCGTCGAGCTGAAAAAACTCAACGACACTTAATCAGTCAGACGACGCTACGGTTACAATCTAGACCAATATATGGAGGATATGATATTATAAAATGGTGATAATAACAAAAAAAAAAATCGGTCGTGTTTCCAGCCATATATGCTTAGACTAGAGGACATCAAATAAACGACGTCCTTGCGCAAACATTAAAACGAGAGATTCGGCTCATTCGACACGACAGCGTCTTAAGTTTACCACGCAGGGTTCAGTGAGCCGTAACAATTTAGGAAATAATGAAACGAAATAAATAATTTATAGACATTACGTCAACTGAGGCGTCATGTGCAGTGATGGAAACCTTCGCATCTCTTCTCTTACTAACTTACAGGTACACCACGCCGTTCACAGCCACCCGCGTCGCTTAACTCAGACTATACATTCAATAAAGCATTCAAAGTGATGGAGACTCAGTTTAAGGTTAAAATGACGTGTCTCTTACCACTGAACACCATTGCTGCTGAGGCACCCATCACTGCGAAGAAGGGAGAGTACTGGGGGCTCTGGGCGGACATTCTTCTTGCGCGTTCAGAAACCTAAAACTAAAGGCAGAAAGGGAGGAAGGCTTCAGTCTAGGAGGTTTAGGCTCTAGAGAAGCTCTGTTCTAGGTTGACAGGTCAGGATCGGAGCGCAAGAGATGGTCACGAATCCGACAGGAGCTTGATCGCCGGCGGAGAGGAAGAAAATGGCGAGACGGAGAGTGTCACATGATCAACCATGAGTGCAGGGTCCGTTTCCGCTTCTCCAGGGATAACTTATGAATACGCAACATATTTCTTTCTAGGATTTTGTAATGACTGACTATCACGGGATCGCAGAGAGCTATTTTAGACGTTTTAGTAGAATTAAATACACGTTATTAGTTTTGTGTGAGCATTGGGTGGTTTTGTCACTTGAACGACACCCCTATTTTATAGGCGTTTTGGTATATTCCATTGCAGGATTCCACTACGACCTTTGAATGCATTCCCAGATCATAGGAATACAGACTTGTAAACCAGTTGTTTATCTGGTAGAACTTGTTTCATTCTTTTATAACCACCAGATGGTGGTCACATATTATATGAATAAGTTTAAATCTTTTATGGCATTAGCCATTTCATAAAATAAGTTCGTGAAAGTGCAGGATACAACATATATTCTGTTTTAAAAAAGCTCAAAATCCAATAGACCAGTTTTCTCAGTGCATTTACTACAGCTATTTGTAGACCTCCATTAATACAATTGTAAAAAGGTTTCCTGAAGCATTGAAATACCAATGAAATGTTGAAGAAACTTTATTTCGACTTAATGTGGACGTTGTATGAGGTGTACATTGTCATGTGCTTAGTCTCATGACTCCTAGGCTTGGAGCTGGAGAGTCCAGAGGGGAAGTAACTTTATGTTACTCACTCTTGGGCACAGACTACTGTAATATTAAAACCTGCTAATTGATCTGTAATGTGTGTGTGTGTGTGTGTGTGTGTGTGAGAACATCCCTTTTAGTTGTGTGATTTTTGGTGTGAACCTAAATACTGAAAGTTGCACTCCATGTATTCCTTCCTCTGCATGTTGGGTGCTGATGACAGTCACCTGAGATTATACTACCTACATTTTACACAGGGGTAGTTACTATAAAATGGATAAAGGAGAGTGAATAGTAAGCGAATCCTGGAAAGGAAAACATTATTTTCTTCTACTGATTAACAAAAGAGTGCAAATTCAGTGTATACACTATATACTTTATATATACACTAGACCAGACAGATGCAAAATGTTTAGAGGCAACTAAACGAATGTAAAAATAATTCTGTAGACTGTTTGACCATCTGTTTAATACATTCATGACACATGAATGATTCTACACAAAAGGCCGTTTCATCTTCACCAAGGCTCTTTATTTTGAAAATCTGTCATTTATGAACATCCATTGACATAAAATACATGCATTTGATAACAGTGTCAACTACACTGGGAGTTTGCAAATAGGTGTCTGCTGAAATTCTGCACAGAAGAATAGAAAAGGAAAAATAATAGCCAGACAGCCGTAGATCTTAGAGTTTTGTGGTGCTGTTTCAGCCATGGCCTGTACCTTTAAGAAAAATATATTTGAATAGGTTCTTCTGAATAAAAGGGAAGCAAATAATAGTGTGGTGTAGGTAGATGAGAAGGAAGAGTTAAGTCTCATCTTGTAAGCGTCTCCTGCGTCCTCCTCCAGTGAATTCACGTTACAGCTGTTCCTCATCTCATGTTCCCACAAACAGAGCTTCTTCCTGTACGGTGTAACAACATACAGTGCAAATATGAGCGGGACAGGGGGCACTTTCATCTGTGGGCACGCATAGAAAGAGGCCTAGTAATATTCTCAACATAATATAGTGTGTTATTTTTCGCAGCAGGCCTGCATCCAGCTACATTTTGAAATTATAGGCTTAATTATTAATTTGTATTTTAACATTATTTAACCATAATCAAAACCTTACTATATTTCGGTCTGCAATTCCACAATCATCAAGGACAGGCAACATTAACAGCACAAAGAATGCTATTTTACCTCGATAAAATACAATTAGCAAAAAATCCATCGCCAACCTTTGAGCTCAAATCCCTCCCGAGGACGTGAATCACGCATCCGCTCTCACGACGGTCCATCGATGCTGCCGTGATCACAGCATGTAGATGATGTAGGACAGGAACACAAGGCCGACGATGGCGAAGAACATCAACATTAGGACGTCCAGCATGATGTTGGCAGAGCAGCGGGTCCAAAAGATGCGGAGGACGCTCGGTCACCCTGTAGTAGCGATAACGGCTGTGTCCGCTGGACTGGACTGGCGCACTACTGTCCTCCCTTATAGAAAGATGCAGCAAGCAATAACTGGGGCCAAGCGCTGTAAATTGGATTCTGAAAGTGCGTCCTCTTTTGTAGGGTGCAAAATTGTCTTATTAGGAGCAATCCAGGCTGTACTATACGGAAAAATGAAGACAATAAAACCAGTCATATTTTATATGGGACCTATAGAATTTGAGTGCTTATCAGAGACAAAAGATTAAATTAGTTAGGCAGACAATTGCGTTCCATTTGAAAGTTGAGAGGGACGTGTCTGATTCTCAGGAGTTTTGACTCCAAATGCATGTTTAGATTCACACAATAAAAACCATGACTTGCATGAGGGTAAGCACCGAGTTTACACAACACATGCAAGTTTTTTTGACATGAGAGTCATATTTTCCCCCCATATTTTCCAAATTTTAGTTCCTTTTCAACAACCTTCCTGTTTATTTTTGGATGATCTGTCATTCAATAATGACCATTACTAACAGTGAGACATTATGCTACATACTGTCATAGATTTTCCACCAAAATGTGTAAAAGAAGAACAATCTACTTGAGCTAAATCTTGTAAGATTTATGCATTGGAATAAAAAGACAGTCAAAACAAAAGTGCACTAATAAGGATTGTAGTATTTACATGAGCTAATTTGGATATTTATGCAATCTTGGATAAATTTTGGATATTTAGATATCTTGTATCCCTTAATGTCTTGCCAAAAGGAAAACACTGCACTGCACAATTGTTTTACAAAGGTAAAAGCACATGAGAATCCATATACCATATCCATATGCTTTACAATTTAAAAGTTTGGGGTCAGAAAGTTTGTTTCTTTTAAAGAAATTAATCATTCTTTTTTTTAACAAGTTAAGACTTAAGTGCCACTTGTGACAGCACCTTTCCAGGACTGAGGAAACACTTACTAATAAGACAAACAGCAAAAGCAAAAGACAGAGAGAAAGACATGGACGAAAGTCGTAAATCATTCACTATTTATGTGAGTGCGTATATGCGCTGTTGCTGTGTATGATTACGTACTGAACTATGTTTGTTTTGGATCATGACCGGGTCATAGAGGCTGACCCCTGATAGGACAGTTAGTGCAGGAAAAGAAGAGGAAAAAGATGAGATCTTGAAAGGTGAGATGGCACTCGGCTAATCATCTGCATCTCTCCGCCGCAACCCCCTCTTTTTCTTTTCCACCCTTTCAACTTTCTCTCTCTTATGTTCAGATGACCTCTACATAGTTAGCCGGCAGCATCCCCTGCTGGCCGGTGCGCTCCACTCTTCCGTACATCCACCCCTCATCGATCTGCTGCACGTCCATGATCACGTCGCCATCCAGGAACGACACCTCGTCCTCATCAGCTGCGGTGTAGTCATACACTGCTCGGTAGCGCTTCTGCAAAGCACACAAAGAGGACAGTAAGGACTTGAAAAGAAGGAGTGTAAAGGACAGTGCGTGTAAGAGAGTTTATTACCCCAGAGCTGTGAGGAGGGGCGGCAGCGGCCTGATGCACAGGCTTGGGCTCATAGTGATAGTTCTGAGATGCTGCCTTGGGTTGATATGCTATGAGAGAAAAATGTGTTTATTTTATGGCCCATGTGAAATTGAGATTTTAATGATCATCCAGAAGAACAGACAACCAGCGAGTTGTACCTGGAGTTGTGTTTTGTTGAGGTGTCTGCGGGTACTGAGGCGTGCCTTCCCCTCCCATTCGGCTCTTCTCAAATTCCTCATGGTACTTAATCTAAAACACACATTTTACACATACACAGTGTGTCAGAACAGACATACATAAATATACATGCAAACATTAACATTTAGTTTACTGTGATGTGCTTAACGTTGTGAATTCTGCAAAATATGTCACCAAAGTGAGTGATTATTTAGCTGGACAACAGTCAAAATTGTGAGAATTATTTGTTATAAAAAGCAGATGTCTTGGAGCTGTTAGACAGGTTGAAAATGATAAACATACGCAACATATGACATCAATTTCTAACAAAAATGTATGCATGAATCATGAAGATAACGGCTGTAAAATTGTCAGCAAAGTATTTGTTGGAGAAAAATAATTTTCTCCTATTAAATTCGGTAAGACAGAGATATTACTTATTGGACCAAAAACCTTATTGGACAGTACACAGAATCTCGTGGATTACAATTTGCAACTAGACGACAATTTAAAAGTTTGGGGTCAGAAAGTTTGTTTCTTTTAAAGAAATTAATCATTCTTTTTTTTAACAAGTTTGCATTAAATCAATCAAAAGTGACAGTAAAGACATTTATAATGTTATATTAATTGATGTTATATTATTATATTGTTATAATATTAAGCAGCACAACTGCTTCGACATAATATATCTTGAGCACCAAATCAGCATTTTAGACTGATTTCTGAAGGATCATGTGTCACTTAAGATTCGAGTAATAATGCTGAAAATTCTGCATTAAAATCAAAGGAATATATTACATTTTAAAATATATTAAAATAAAAAAAACGTATTTTAAATTATAAATGTATTTTGCGGTATTTGTTTTTTTTTTTATTGTATTTTTGATTAAATGAATGCAGGCTTAGTGAGTATAAGACACTTTTTTTCAAAAACATTTAAAAATCTTACAGACCACAAACCTTTGAATGTCAACTGCACATAATAAATACTACAACATCATGTGCTGGGAAAAGTGCAATAGCTTTTTAAATACGGAATGGTTATAATGTGCAGAATAAGGTGTTTGGGGGGTGTTGTAAAGAACTGAAGAAACATTGGTGACGGTGGACTGATAAGACATTAAAGAAATTCTGGAGAATGTTTTACAGAAGAGTAAAAATCTTTGAAGTAGCAATAGTGGAAATAGTATCTTGAGAAAGCAAAACACTTACTTTGATCATTCTCTGCATCTATATTTTGGCATTTTAGAGAACAATAATCAGTAGAATCTCATTAGAGTCTTTGCACAGCAACATTGTTTCCAGTTAGAGAGAAATACATGCTAGGCTCTTCTAATTAACATTCTAATACCGTTGCTAACAATTCCGTCCGTTTGACAAACCCGCCTGCCTTGGTATACAAAAAAATTTTTTTATTCCACTGATATTGATAAATTGACATTAAAATTCTGTCTCGTACAATACCAGCAAGGCAATGAGAATAAGCAATGATATGAGGAAAAAACAAACAAAAACATCAATAACAACATCTTACAGAACAGCTCTGAGATACAATGCACATGGAATGTTCCAGAACCAGAATGGAACAGAACCAATGGAATGATTAAAATCCAAAGCTAAAATGGTCCATAGAATTGTGCTTGGGCTCCTCTCTTCTCTCACTATTCTACAATGCTGTTCTGCTCCTCGCTTGCTGAGTGACTATATCATTTCTTTTTTTCCCTTTATGAAGAACAAAATACATTACTATTTCCCCGCATTTTTAAAAGCAAGAGCAGCAGAACAAAAGTACACTCATATATTCTAATTAATTCTGTAAAGGGCTAGAGGAATGTGAAGGAGCTTAAGTGAATATGCACTGTAAGTATCAAAAGGCTCCGTCCTTTTCATACAGTTTTAGGAATGTCCAGTTGAAAAAGAGGAGCCTTTTCTAGATTTCAGTTTCAACACATGATGCAAATGGTCAGACGTATGGAATGACCAGAATTCTCATGATTAAGCATTGTTACCCACTGACCCACATCCAATGAGATGTGAAACTGTACTGTACAAAATATTATTACTTGCCTAAAAGGCCCTTAATGGGTTAGCTCATGCGTACCTAACTTGTCTTCTACCACGCCACAATCCATCACGCTCCCTAAGGTCGCATTTTTCCGTACATTTCTGCCATATGTACATTAACTGACAGTCACCACTGATAAGCTACCACTAAATATTGTAGAAACTTAATTTGCTGTAAAGTTGCTTTGCAATGATTTGTATCGTGAAAAGCGCTGTACAAATAAACTTGACTTGACTCGTAAAGAAAAAGTTAAATATTTTAATTACATTTTTCTGACGCATGAAAATGTATAATTTTATAATGTATGATAATTTGTAATGTAGCAAAGCTAGTTAAAATGTTGGCAGGACAAGGGAAAAAAAAAAAGGCCATCCGAAAAAATTGATTGTTTTATAGGCCCAATACAAGCACAAATAAATGTAGCTAATGTGTTAAAATATTTTTAATTGATATTGTATGGATCAATTATGCAAATAAAGTTGGTATTTTTCCAAAGGTGATAGTGCAAGTTTGGAGTCTGTAAGAATTTATGTTTTTCAATCTTATGCTCAACAAGGCTGCATTTATTTGATTAATAATACAGTAAAAACAGCAAATTTGTGAACGTTTATTCCAAATTAAAATAATTAATTTTCAGCAGTCATCATTACTCCAGTCTTTAAATTCTGACCCCAAACCTTTGAATGGTAGTGTATGATGACTTCATTGACAGTGTACTAAAACCAATCATAGAGCACAATGAAGACAACCTCACTGCTGTCCATTTTACAGACACACCCTCAAACTGAGAGAATCGCTTCCACAGCAGTGGGCTCTTTGGGTAAGCAGTTCAGACTGAATTAACTGTAGGAAATTGTGGCGAGGAACAAAAAAAAATAAAATATAGAGTGCATGAGACATACTGATGCAGTGCTATCTCATAATTAAACCACTCAGAAAACAGTCCTTCATTTTGTAAAGTGGTGGTTTCAGCAAGAGCTTTTAATTTAATTAAACTTTATTCTGAGCCAGGGTGACAATTACTAGCAATTCCTGCACCATCCACAAGGTGTCTCCTTAGCCAGAATATGAAGTGGTGTCTTGCTTTCATACTGACAGGAAATGACATTGCAAAAAGGAAGTTAGGTGAGAAATGTTACCAGGCAACCAGCACAGATACTTCAGCGAAAAGGTGTGGTGTGAAAGAAGAAGAGGAAGGGTGGGACTAAATGCTCCATCAAGGTCAAATAATTATTACTTCTTTTTAACCATTCATATAAAAATAAAGGAGATTAAGATCGATAAACTGTGTATGTTTCTGTTTGTTGGAGAGTAATAGATAGAGTTTGGGAAGCACAAGACAAAAAGCAAATTTAACAGCTAAAAAAAGAGAAAATATGAAGCACAGAAAAGTGAGTAATATGTGAAAAGAGAGAAATACACAGGTATTGGACCTACGTTGCTGATTTGGTCTTGTGTTTTCTTGATTCTCTGCAACTCCGGTGTGTCGGCCACAACGCTGAAGCCCTTTCCTTTGTTCTTCTCAAATTCCTCCTTGTAGAGCACCTGCAACAAAAACACACACAGAAATCAGTAGCAAATATCCAAGAAATTGCAATTGTTCATTTCGTGTGTAACAGGTTCACAAGTATACTTCCCTCCTTTATATTATATCAGCATATATGTAGCTTAGTTAATGGATAATCATAAAAACAACATTTGGCATTTTCCACATTCCACAGGGTAAAAAGGCCTTCAAAACTCTTATTTCTTTTTCTTTTTTATTTCAATGAATGGTCAGTGAAAGCAGGTGCATAACATTTAAAAAATCTTTATTTTTAACCTCAGAAGATCAAACTAAATATTATTTTATTTTCTATTTATTTTATTTAATCTGTTTGGGTCTAAACACAGTTTAAAACCCTGATTTGTGTGATTTTGTAATTAGCTAGCAATAAATGAATGGTAAATAATATATTTAAAAAAAATACAATAAAATGAGTAATGTTGCAAATAATGGTAGCAAACTAGTCTCAATGAAGCTGTTGCGTAGTAGAGGCTACTTTGGGAACAAATGTTAGTTGATTGATAGCTACTGATAAACTTGTATTTCCCATAAATTAGCTTGTTCCTTTTTTTCTGACAGTAATAGAGATAGCATTAATGATAATTTCACACTGAGCACAGCAAACGTGCTCAGTGTGAAAGCCCGCTTAGGGGAGGGTGCAGGTGGAGGTCTGGAGATGATCATGACTTGATTCATGCATTCTTTTAGTATTATTTCATGCATAGGAGTGCACTGACTAATGCCACAGAAACATACAGAAATAAGGAATCGATTAGAGTGATTAGAGAGTATGCGACTGCTGGCGTGTTATACCTGGCTCTGCATCTTGCTTTGCTGTTTCAGGCGCAGGTTCTCCGGAGTGTCTGCAACACTGGTGAATGACGTCTTCGGATAGTGTCTGAAATACACACACAGAGACATTTTAGTTAACATCAGCATTTTGCTAACATCATCTCAGTATTTCTCCAAGCTGAATTACAAAAAAAGTATTTTTTATTATTATAATTCTTGCTGGTCTCCAAATGTTAGGCAAAACTTTTAATGTATAAACTATTTAGGTTAATTTTATTTTTATAATAATGGATTTTTCAAGTCAATGACTTAGGCTACTGGGATGCTTTTTAACCGTGATGCTGCCAAAGACAAAGATCATGAATTAGTGACCGTGAAGGTGAATGTCCGAATTTGCTTGTCGATGATTTGTATGGGGATAGTGAAGACGCAGGAGTGTAACTTGTGCCTTGTGTAAACAAGGCAGCTTATTTGTCCTATTTTCACAGACCAACGCAACACAAAATTAGCATGACAGTGACAAACCCAACCACAATCATCCAACGCAACACACAATTAGAGTGCCAGAAATAATAGAACTGTAGAACAGAGAATATAAATTACTATTACAACATTAACTGATATATTTGGTAATAAAATCGTAATAAATTTTTTAATACAGTCTTAATAATTTAACTACAGTTTGTTAATCAAGTAACCATATAACAACATAGCGTGCCACATAAGCATTTAACAGGGCTGATTCAGAATTCAGATGAATCATATTAACAACACAACAACTGAGCCCATCCAAACGTAGTCTGTTCCTGGTTACCAAAGGACACCCTGTCTGCTTAGTTAAACCAATGTATAATACACAGACGCTGTCTGCGATGCAACGCAACGCGTAAAAAGACAGTATAAGTAATTATAATCAGTAATTATGTCCCCACTGGATGCAACAAATGCCTCGTTTATAATGGTTGTAATGTTTTTGTCTCGTCGCATAGTCGAGTGTTTGAAATACTTCTTTTTGTGACCAGACGTGGTTTCATACTACAGAATGATAGTATTATATACAGTGATAAAGGCCATGTTAACAAATCATTAGCTCATCCATGAACATGATTTCTGCCCGAGTCCCGTCGGATTGCATTGGCTGTGGGGAT